TGGAGCTAAACTCAAGAACCAGCAATTTCTCAGAGCACCTGCCTTGCAAAGACTTCTTATTGAGCTTCATTGGGAAATGATTGGACAGCCACAGAAATTCTGGGCTTGGGGTGTTATTACTTACTAGTGATTTTTAAAATTAGTTTTGTTTTGTTTTTGGCAGGGGAGTGTGCATTTAAGATAATTGTTGAAACTGTTAAATTCAGGAAATAAGTATAACTATTTAAGGAATCATTACCATTAGATTAAGACACTAAGATAAAGTCAACTGGTGTTGAATGCAGCAATCCACAGCCAGAAATGGTAGGTGGTGATCTTATGGTGGCATCTAACCATCAGCCTACGGATGTGTAATTCCTGCTTCCTGTATCCATAAAACCTTTCTAGCTTATCAGCTTTTATAATGTTTTCAATCAGACTTCTTGCAGTGGAGAGCCACATGGACCCCTGGAGAGCCACATGGTTATTAAAAGATTCCAAGCTTAAAGAAAAAAAATGGCATCAACATCACAGAGACTCATGTCATCACTAGCAGAACGGAGAGTCATTACATGACAGGTGACATGCTCCGGATAACTGCTTCAAAAAACTCTAGAGTCTCAATTAGGATGGACACAATGGAAGCTTATCTGCCTTCAGAAGCATGCTGTAAGAAATATATCAACTAAGATGCAATCACACAGACAGACATAAATACCGGACATCTATTCACGTGTACACACTTGGGTATTATTTACAATCTGATAAATGCCTGCAATGCTTAATGAACATTAAAGGCCCAATCAAACTATTTAGCTATTATTTTTTACTTTTTAGTATTTTTCAGGTAACAGTTGATTTATTGATATAGCTAATGTATGCAATTGATTTATTTGTTCAAACAATGATCTATTAGATTAAAATCCTGGCATGCACAGCTCCATTTTGACTCTGTAAGACCCTCCCTCTTACATCCATCTTGAAATGACTACACGTCAATGTGGCTTGATGAATTCACGGCTCATTTGAGTTTATTGGATGTTTATTGTCAAATAGAGAACAAAATGGATACATGCATTAATTTTTGGAAGATTAGAACAATACATCACCAAGATTAATGTTATATGAGTTTCAATTAAGGAGGGCTGGAAAGAAAAGACTTATAAACAAATTCACCATATTACCATGGTTTGATGAAAGGGATGGGGTTATTTAGGCTTATTTGCAAAAAGTCTTTTCCTTTTTTTTGGTGGGGTGAGGGGGTGGGGGAAGAATTACCATAGATAGGCAGACAGACTGAAGTACAGACAGAGAGACAGACAGAAGGTGAGCAGGATGTATATCTCATTGCCTTCTGGACATATACCACTGGATTAGACAGATATAACATATATTATCTATTAAAATAACAGATGGACAGTCATAGCATCATATTGTAGTGTGTGCATATCTAATATGAGAGCTATGACATTTTGGCTTTTAGTAGAAAAAAAATAAAGCAGAATTGCTTTTGCTGGGAAATGAAGAATATGAAAATTGAACAACAGTTGGGGAGGTCAGAGATTATTTTTATACACATTTTAATGCAAATGTATCTGAATAAAGCCTCACTTAATAACTTTTTCCAGAAATAATTTGAAAATGAAGCAACCATTGACACAAGTTCACAGTGATAATACCCAGGGAGTTCTGGGAAAAAGACAGAAAATGCTTAATTTTATTTGCTGTTAATGTGTGGTATTTCATCATGATTGTCAAGTGGGGTACAAACACAATGCAACACAGTAATTTATATCACGGGATTTTAAATAATTTGATTGTTATTTTTTGGTAGATTAGATGACTAAAAAACATTTAAAATGTTCCAATATAGGTTGATAAGAATCAAGAAATGCAATTAATATATATTTTTCCCCTAACCATACTAAAGAGACTCCTTGATTTCTAATCATTTAGATTGACTATAATCTCTTATGAGTCTTTATCCAAGGTTGGTGGGTTTCTCAAACAAGTGTCACTTTAACATGGAAATGTCAATCTCGGTGTTTGTAGGCAATATCTCAACTTGCTTCCCAATAAACATATTTAATAATAAAACAAAAAAAATGGCAGAAATATAATATGACATATTGTTGATTATCCTCTCAGTACATTACTCTCTTGCACAATCAAATTATCTCATCCCCATGTGTTCTCTGTTAAAGGGACACTATAGGCACCTGGACCACTTTAGCTCATTGAAGTGGTCTGGATGCAGTGTCCCTGCCCCTTTAGTCCTGCAATGTAAAACATTGCAGTTTTTGAGACAATGCTCACATTGCGGTACTAAGACTACCTCAAGTGCTCTATAGTGTAAGGAATACAGGTTTGTATTTCTAACACTATAGAATCCCTTTTCCCTTTAATTAGTTTGCATGCTTTTATAAACAAACCCACTTCTGTTTCACTGGACATATCTTTGATCTGAAGCAGATAGAGCAACTTAGTGTAGGACTCAACTTTCAAGTTTGTCTTGGCAGATGAACTGGCATTTTGTTTGCCCTTAGCGTGGTACTAAAACTCATTGTGGCACATTTATGTGTAATTTTTGTTTTCAACTTACATCCTCATGTGTGAAAGTGAGCTGACCCATGATTTTAATATGTTGAGCTAATTATTGGTGTTTGTAAATGAGTCATTTCTACTTATGGGAAAAAACAGATCGTCTTTTATGTAAAACACTACACATGTTAAACTAAGCAATGGTAATCATGCACAGTAGTTGAAAATGTGATTTTTTTAATTTTTATTTTAATTATAAAATCATAACAGCATTTATAATAACTGATGTCACTCTAGTAATAATAGTTTATGTGAATTATCTTTGCTGTCAACTGGAGATCACAAATGTATAAGTAGTCAAAAACTGGTTGAAAGCAAAAGCTGGCCACCCTTGCTTTATTCTATAATTTGTTAACAGTTACCCAAGCATTCTTCAAAAAACAAATAATGCAAATTCTGACCACATCTGCTTTAAATTAATTTATGGCAACAGATATTCCAAAAACAGCTGAAGAACAATGACTGGACACCTCGTTTTAAAGTATTCTATGGAAATAACAGATATGAAACCCTTTGTAAAAAATCTGGGGGACAACGGCTGGACATACCTGATTTAGAGTATACACTGGCAACAACAGATATACAAGCATTATTGAGGGAAAAAAACAAAGACAACGCATCACATCAAGCATGACAAAGGAGACCACTCCAGATCTATAATTTTTGGCAATAAAAGATATGCAAGCCTTCTTGAACACTAGAGGCTATTCCTCATTCTAGCGACTAAGCAAAACACAAATAAATTAGAATTGTCATACAAACCCTGCATTATTTTGTTGCTACTGAACGTAACTGACAGTGCTGAATATCCATTTATCACTATTATAGTTATATTCATGATTGCTTGAATTATTGGGAAGAGATTTGAGCAACGAAGCCTTTATTTAAATGGATCTAGGATGGTTACAGATATAAACATAACTCAGCAGCTTCGACATGTGCAATGATCTAATTGGCCAGTTTGTTCAAGCCTCATTAATGTACTTTAAGTGATTAAATATCTAGAGACTCAATGAAGCAGATTTATTTCCAAGTTTACTCATCGTACCTGTTGACCCACAAAAAAGGAATATTTCACAGATGATGCTGTAAGATCAAAACAAACATATCGAGCAGAGTAACTTATTAAAACCTCTCTATTCTAAGTAAGATTTGCCTTTTTTTTTTTTCAGAACGGAATGGACGGATAAAGACAATTTGGCACAGTGCTTGTTGCCAGGAAAAAGATGGAAGTCATTACGCTGATAAGATTCCTAGCTGAATAAGAGATTTAGCCTATCTAAATCTTCCGGAACTGATTGTGATACAATTACGTCTATTACGTCGTGGAACCATGGTGGAATTTCTCGATCAAGCAATCTAAATGAAATTGAGCTTTTAGTTCTTTATCTTGACAACTGGGACCTATAAAACAGAGGCATCTTTAAACAGGAATTGAATCAAACTGACATTTGGCATTATTTAACTAAGTGTTTTATTTAATTTTTGTTCTCAGAATATATGAGTGATTCACAGCACATGACAAGTAATTCCAAGGGATTGTTGAATTAATTCTAATAATAAAGTTCATCGAAATGTGTGTATTCTTTTCATGAAAGAAACAGAAGTATTCACACTTAGAACAATTTTTTAAATAGAGACATTTTATGTCAGATCATATTCTTATCTAAATATACGTCACCCAGATATATTTGTATGGTATGAGGTTTGCTACTGTTTGGATTGTTATTCCACAACTTCAGAGTTCTGTAGAAAAAAAAGCTCTCTCACCACATCCATTTTGTAATGTAAAATTGTGATTAACATTTTGGAAGCATAGCGTAGGTTATATAAGGGGTGGAGAATTTATTATGCATCCACCAGTGTACACCCCAACCTGAATGCCACTTTTTGGTGTAACAACTTGCAATGTGTGCTGTTTATTTGCTGAAACAAGAAAGCAAAGATGTTTACAGATGGATAGACAGACCGACTGACAGACAGAGAGACAGACAGATAGATAGATAGATAGATGAAGTGGATAGCGTTCATATGCATATGTGGAAATTATACTGCACTCACTATAGAATCTTTTGTATTTTGACATAATAAGTATTTGAAACAAACAGATATTCTAACTTAAAGTTAACAGTTCCTGTTCCTGTACATATGTGGTGTTATTGTCAAGATAAGTTAGAGGACAGTCGCTGTGAATCTGTAGTTAGTATGTATACTGCTACATTCTACTTCTTCCGAGTCCAGTTATTCACATATTCTACAATGCACACTGCCTAAGAAACAAGTTCACTCCAGCTCTTCATAGATACTAAAATCCACATTAACTGAGATGAATGTTCATATCCAATCCCTCCAATAACTCACACTACCTGAGGAGAATGTTCAGCTACAGACCCTCCAATAACTCACACTACCTGAGGGGAATGGTCGGCTACAAACCCTACAATAACTCACACTACCTGAGCGGAATGGTCATCTCCAAACCCTCCAACAACTCACACTACCTAAGTGGAATGTTCATCTCCAAACCCTCCAACAACTCACACTACCTAAGTGGAATGTTCATCTCTAAACCCTCCAACAGCACACACTACCTGAGCAGAATGGTCATCTCCAAACCCTCCAACAACTCACACTACCTCAGTGGAATGATCATCTCCAAACCCTCCAATAACTCACACCACCTGAGCGGAATGTTCATCTCCAAACTCTCCAACAACTCACACTCCAACAACTCACACTACCTGAGCGGAATGTTCATCTCCAAACCCTCCAATAACTCACACCACCTGAGCGGAATGTTCATCTCCAAACTCTCCAACAACTCACACTACCTGAGTGGAATGTTCATCTCCAAACCCTCCAACAACTCACACTACCTAAGTGGAATGTTCATCTCCAAACCCCCCAATAACTCACACTACCCAAGGGGAATGTTTAGATCCAAACCCACCAATAGCTCACACTACTCAAGGGGAATGTTCATCTTCAAATCCTCCAATAGTTCACACTACCTGAGTGGAATGTTCAGGTCCAAACCCCCAATAACTCACACTACCTAAGTGGAATGTTCAGATCCAAACCCTCCAATAACTCACACTAATGTTCATCTCCAAACCCTCCAATAGCTCACACTACCCAAAGGGAATGTTCATCTCTAAACCCTCCAATAGCTCACACTACCCGAGGGGAATGTTAAGCTACAAACCCTCCAATAGCTCACATTACCTGAGGGGAATGTTCAGATCCAAAACCCCAATAGCTCACACTACCTGAGAAGCATTTTCACTCCAGGTCTTCACACATCCTTCACACTACCTGAGAATAATTTTTTGGTTCCGAACTTTCAATAGCTCACACTACCTGAGCAACAGCTACTACAGCTCATCACTTCATTTGTATGGCACATTACCAAGAAGCATGAACAATACACTCCACCCACTCCTACAACCCACACTACCTAAACAACATATTTACTCCACAATACCAGTTGTCCTCACCTCGTATGATCCACACTTCTTGATCTTCATTTCTTCTCTACTAAATACTACCTGAGCAGAAGGTTCACTTCATTTTATTACACAGCACTTGAAAAGCAAATTCACTCCAGTTGTGAATTCCAGTTCTTCACATATTGTGTAATATTTACTGCTCCTCATGAAGTATCTTTAAAGCTAGAATGGAATAACTATTAAGAAATTATTAAGCCTTATAACTCATGAAAATATATGAAACTTTGTGTTCCTCTGTTTACTAATTTGTTTTGCATCTATGTGTTTTAAATGTGTAACCTTCAATTATGAATAATTGCAATAACAACAATTATAATAATTACAAAAATTACAATAATTAGAGTGTTTTCATAGGATGAATACACTTAGATTGTTTCTTATTTAAAAATATGTTATTAGTTATTATTCAAGTCATTGTGTTGCGTTTATTGACCTTGAGATGATGAAAGGCTGAGTCTAATATAGCCTGCAATCTTGAGGTATAAACAGGTTCAGCGACTGGTGGATTGACTGAGTAACCTCAATGGAATAATATTATTGCTCATCTTTGTGTGCTGAAAACAGTGCACGATAAACACACACAGAGAACAGAGATAGCTTCATAGTTTGTCATATTGTTAGTGTTCATTCAGGATGTTGCAAACAAGTTCCATTCACTTGTAACTACATAGGGGTGTTTTTCCTTTCATGGTACAACAAATAAATAAATATAGTCACTCTTTTAAATTAAAGTTTTAAGCACTATAACAACAATTGTTTGCTGTAGTGGTTATGGTACCAGGAGAGCCATGGCACCATACTACAGTAAGTTGTCAAACCATTTTAGTACAGTTTGACATTTGACTTCTCTTCTCTGCAGGAAAATTCAAAAGTCTCTAAAGAATAACGCATGGGTGATGAAGGGCCATGCTCATTGGATAAAAGTGATTACCTGATGCTCCCAGTCAGTGATCATGGCCAGGCTTAGCTCTATAAAACAAATAAGAAGTAAAATACTGGAAGTAGGGGTTGCAGTGGCAGGCACACAATGGAAACAGCTAAGTTGATTTGACTACTTATTATGGGATGGCAGCATTTATAAATTGATCAAACAACAGTATATTTGATAAAGTTAATTAATAAGGAACAAACAAAGTAGCAGAACATTTATTAACTTGTTTGACACCTGATCAAATATTCTATACTTAATACATTTGAAATCACCCACTTTAGAAAGACGAGTCTTTTGACCCACATTTAAGTAGGACAGCATTTGGGAAATAGTGATCACAATATGGTAATTTTTAAAATAAACTAAATAAAGCAAAAGCATGCAGGGTTTAATAAAACGTATAATTTAAAAAAAGCCAGTTTCAATAAGATTAGGGCAGCTCCACAACATATCGACTGGCATAAACTCCTTAGTGAAAAAAACACTGAGGATAAATGGAAACTATTTAAACAAATATTAGAAAGGTACATTTCTCAGTATGTACCATTGGGTTAAAAATATAAAAGAAACAAATTGAAACCAATGTGGCTTAGTAGAGAAGTAAAACAAGAGATTAAAAATAAGAAAAGGGCATTTAAAGCATTTGAATCTGACAAATCAGAGGCATCCTATATAAGATATAAGGTATAATGCTTGCAAAAAGGCAAGTAAAGTGGCTAAACTAGAAAATGAGAAATTGATAGCCGAAGAATGCAAAACCAACCCCAAACCAACCCCAAGTACATCAATTCTAAACAAACAAAAAATGACATTGTATGTACACTAGAAACAGAGATGGGTCTGTTAACTAATGAAGACCAGGAAAAGGCAGTGTAACGGATCCTGCTATCCCTGTAGGAACGATCCTTGTAGCTTCTCCCTAAATCCCAGCTGAAGTAGAGCAAAGTAGTGATTATAACTACCAATCCCCCAAACATGAGTCGACGCTTCATGAAGGGGTAAAATGAACTGGTTTAATGCTGGTCACACTTTACCTTTTAAGATGGTCTTCCAGTAAGGGTTACTCCCACAGGGACCTTGTGGAAGACTGTGACAAAAATTACAGTAAACAATCATTTTCCATTACAATAATAAACACACCCACACAAACAGTGTAATCCCTCCTCTCTATCCTGGAGATAATTGGCTTAAGTGGTTGGAGTAAACTTAATTATCTCCAGGTAGAGAGAAATACTTTCTTTTTACATTATAACAAAACTGCATTAAAATCCATAACTTGTATTTCGCCAAACGGAGTCCCCATGTTCAACATACCCCCAGATAGCTTGGATCTGAGCACACAATATAGTCGAATAGCGCTCAGATCCCATGAACACAGTTCAAACACCATTGAGTTAAGTATTTAGTTCACCGGTTGTTCGTGAAAATGCATCCGAAAATAGCTCCATGGTTTCAGCTAACTGGAGTCAGTCTCTTTCGTATATTAAATGTCCCGAACAGTATAGTGTTCGTGCACTAGGAAACGAATGGGATGGATGCTGGTAAGCCTCAGCGGTATTCATCTGAAAATGTGTCCGAAAATAGTTCCATAGTGTCTACGATGACCACCCAGCCATTCGACAAATACCTATGATTAACCGCAATGGCTGGGTGGTTAATGAGCTACACATGACCATTGTAGGTGGTCTGATGGTTCGGAGATTTGTTCGGTTATTTTAATAAAAGCATGAAAGGGCCAAACACACGAATATCGTACGAAATAACTGACTCCAGCGATTTGGCAAAACAGGGGTTTTGTCACAGGCAGATATTTTAAATAACAATTTTTCTTCAGTATATATTAATGAGGAACCTATGGAAAGATATATGCAAATGATTGCTGCAAAAAACTTGCAGATAACTTGTGATTGGATGACTCGAGACAAGGTGCTACAGCTGTTAAGAAAATGAATGTAAATAAAGCTCCAGGGCTTGATGGTATTCACCCACGAGTACTTAAGGAGCTAAGTGGGAAAATAAGTGAACCTCTGTATTTAATTTTTCAAGATTCTTTTGTTTCAGGTATTGTACCGGAGGATTGGAGGAAGGCAGATGTTGTTCCTATATTTTAAAATGTTTCAAAATCTTTGCCTTGAAATTATAGACCAGTGAGCTTAACTTCTGTGACTGGGAAAATATTTGAAGGGCTATTAAGGGATAATATTCAGGAATTCATTGGGAAGAACTTTGTTATTAGCAATAATCAGCATGGTCTTATGAAACATACCGGTAAGTCATGTCAAACTAACCTAATTGAATTCTACAAAGAAGTATGTAGAATGATAGATCAGGGTGTTGCAGTGAATGTGATCTACTTTGATACAGTTCCTCACAATAGGTTGGTCTTTAAACTAAAAGAAATTATTGTTGTTCTTGTGTAGAACATTGGCTTAAGGATAGAGTACAACGAGTTGTCATTAATGGTAACATTTCAAGCTGGACAAAAGTGGTAAGTGAGGTCCCTCAGGGTTCTGTTTTGGGACCGTTTCTATTTAGCATATTTATAAATGATCTTGAAACAGGCATTGAAAGCCATGTTTCACTGTTTGCAGATGACACAAAACTTTGTAAAGTAATAAAATGGGAGCAGGATATTGCTTTGCTGCAGAGGGATTTGGATAGATTGGGGGACTGGGCACTAAAATGGCAGATGAAATTCAACATGCACTTCAGGGTCAAGAATGCACAAAAAAACTTACAACCTAAATGGTAGTAAATTAGGGATAACCACACACAAGAAGGATTTGGAAATTGTTATAGACAACAAATTAGGCATCAATATCAATCTGCAGTTGTTAAGGCCAGTAATGTTTTGTCATGTATAAATAAGGGCATAGATTCTCTGGATGAAAATATAATTTTGCCTCTTTATAAATCGCTGGTAATACCACACCTTGAATATGCTATGCAATTTTGGGCACCTGTTCTAAAGAAAGATATCATGGCACTAGAAAAAGTGCAGAGACGAGCTACAAAATTGATACAAGGAAGGGAGCATTTTAGTTACGAAGAAAGTAAAAAAATTTAAATCTCTTTAGATTGGAAAAACTGTGCCTCAGAAGGGGTATGATAACATTAGACAAATATATTCGGGGCCAGTACAAACCATTATCTGGAAATCTATTCATAAACAGAGCTATACATAGGACATGAGGTCATACATTTAGGCTGGAAGAAATGAGATTTCATCTAAGGTAAAGAAAAGGTTTTTTTTTTACAGTAAGAGCAATAAGGATATGAAATTCTCTGCCTAAAGAGGTGATTTTATCAGAGTACATACATATGTTTAAACTGCAATTGGATAAATACTTGCAAAAACATAACATACAGGGATATAATTTCTAATTCGTTTGTTAATAGCTGCTTGATCCAAGGAGACATCTGACTGCTATTTTGGGGTCAAGAATGATTTTTGTTCCTAGTTTGTTGCAAAATTGGAAGTGCTTCAAACTGGGTTTTTTTTGCCTTCTTTTGGATCAACAGCAAAATACAAATGTGAGGAAGGCTGAACTTGATGGATGCAAGTCTATTTTCAGCTATGTAACTATGTAACTATGAGTATTGTGTACTTTTTGCGAAA